TATATTTTGGTCTTGGCCTCAGTTTGCATACGTTTCTATCATCTCTATTTGGCGGTGATCAGCCTTCTTTGTCTGATGTTGTCGACATTTGGGTTAAGACACCGGTGTCTTCGCGATGTTTTCCTTCACTGTAGGAGCAAATGTTAATAGAGCATGTAGAAAGAAAAGTCTAAGTAGTGCTTCGAACGCACGATCTTAATATTAAGAGCCGCTTAAGCCACTGCTCTTTCGTATTCTTTATAGGTGCCAATGGGCTCCCCTATTATATAATTAAAAATCTCAAATAGTGTATTTGTTACCATAATATTAAAAATATAGATAATTTCTATATGATGAAAAAGATTATCATATAAAACACGAGCTTTTCTTTATATCACACAGATAAAGGAAACGCACAAAGCTAATAGTTGATGGCATGACAACAAAGGGTTGGCTGTTACGTCAGCCATTAGGGAAGACAGTTATTGAGGGCACCCCTCGTCATGGTGGATGAGTTAATATAGCATCAGAGCTTGGTTTAATTGGATGACCTTTTTTTTACTGACCGACTTCTTTGTGTTGTGTTTTGTTTCTGAAGTCTGAAGTCGATCCATACAGGGTTCTCGTACGGTCGGATACTTTTGTCTAACGAGTTTGTTCGTTACAAGTATTTCCACTTATATCAGTTTTGATTTTTCGTGAACGGGTGCTACTTGTGGTGACTGGTCGGAATTGAATTCGTGTATGCGGTGATGTTAGTTATTTCGACTATGTGCGTGTTATTCTAACGAGAATGTAAGTGCGTGCTCCTATGTCACCATGCCTCCTGCTAATAAAGGACAAATCTTTGCTATTTTATTTTTTATTATTAATTTACTATTAATTACTTAAAGATGTTATGTGGAATATGGTGTAATAGTTGCAGCTCCTTACAAAAATTTAGTAAAACAAAAAAACTTGGCGATGGCGAACTGATGGTCTTAAGTGTACATGAATAAATGATTTTGAATTTGAATTTAAAATTAAAGTATGCATTCTTCTTTTATACACTTAAATCAAACAAAGCTAAATATTCCAAAGTGGTACTTAAATAAGTATTTATATTGTCGTTTTCAACTCTTTTCCTAACGTTTAGTTTCCGACAGTCCCCGTCAGACATATTATGACGTCAGTCATAATTTGGTTAGCTATCCCTTTGTTTTGAGGTCAGGGGTGTGTGTAGTCGTCAACCGTCATGTAGATGGTAAGTAGGAATTAAATATTTGATTTATTGTGAAAATAAATTTATGTGTCAGAGCGAAGTTTTGAATGCACAAATCTCATTGGTTATTTGTTTAAATTAGTTAATATAACAGATTATTTTTAGATATGTATTAGAGTTTCATGTGAGCACCAGTATTACAATTTATTTATTTAAAACTTAAGCGAATGCACTCGAACGGTGAAGAAAAGCATCGTGAGGAACGGCTTGCCTTAGACCCAAAAAGTTGGCGTGTGTCAGACAGGAGGCTGATAACCCACTTGCCTATTAGATTGACATGAAACAGATACAGAAATCTGAGGCCCGAGTGCCACTGATGTATTTTTATTTATTAGTGTATGGATGCATTTAACAGGATCTATATTTAAACTACTGGACGTTTTCAATAGATCGTAATTACCAGTACAGTACCAAGAAACAAAGGATAAACAAATTGTTAAAATGTAATTCGTGAGGATATTAGCGGTTGCATAGAAAGTTAATAACTGGTAATTTAGCGGCTTCGTTAGCTGTTGGTCCATTTCCGGCGAAACAATTCGTGACGTCATTCGGCTTTGATGTGCTAATTTCTTTATCTATGAACAAAGCTATTTTGTGACCTTGACTTTTGTGATATCTTTTCAGGTAGCCGTGATTTATGTGTCGTTCAATAGGCATATATTACGTAAGATGGTTAGTTATTTTAGGAACGTAGATAGTAGGTTTTAAAACGATTATAATATAGCAGTGGTTACAGTCTTTTCTGTATTTTTGTTTTTTCAAATCGGAAAGTTGGTGATCTTTTTGGTTTACTGCATGGTACACACGTGTGCAGTGCCACGAACTACGTCATCAGGGATGAGATTCGCGCTGTCAAGCCAAGACTAACACTATTAAAGAAAATTTTATTTTGAGGAGGATTGAAAGTGTTTTTGTAGAAAAATAATGTATTTATAAAGTAACTCTGTCGTTCGAGGGCACCTCATACATTGTTATCATTTATGCTAAATCTATGTAAATACATTTTATCTTTAGACATACGCTATCGTGTTTTGATACTGTCAGATGATTTTTTTGTGTCATTTTAATCGCATTGAAGTGCAGTTTAAAGAGTTTGGGCAAAGTCGTATGGATTTAGGATGTTTTGTCACGTTTATTCTTTTGTAAAGTGATGAGAGAGTTATAAGGACATGAATATAACATTTAGAATTTTATTACGGAATCTATGTTGGACTTTTATTTTTTATTATATTAAGCGAATTAATATAAACTATTATTCAAAATATGAAGAGTTGTAATCGTTAATATTTAACACGGTTGAGAGATTAGGAAGGAAGTTTTAGGAAGGTTTTTATGGAAAGAAAAAAAAAATGGAAAGAAAGAAAATTGTTGCATATGCTGGTAGTTCGCAATTTGCGAATGACAACAAGAATTGAAAGACCTCTATATTATAGTATATAAAAATGATTAGATTTAATACATATATAACATTACTATAAACTCTATATATAGAGTTTATATACTACAAAAGCTAGTAGTTCGTGAAAGTAAGAATTACCAACAATGCGACCGCAACTTTTCACATTTGTTCCGTGCGGTTAACTTTATGACGACTTGTCACACCCACTGCGAGTGAACCCACCCCCCCAGTGACGTCAAAACCACACCCTTAAAAATACGTCGCTACGTGCACCAAATGCTCTACATATCACCTGAATGCTATCTAAAGAGAAAATATTTTTATTCTTGTACTAGCTGCCCCTGCGAACTCCATTTCGCCTTAATAACATATATTCTACTTAACTTAACTTTTTTACATACCTCCAGTGTCTGACACACGCCGTCGACTTTTTGGGTCTAAGACATGTCGGTTTTCTCACGATGTTTTCCTTCACCGTTCGAGCAAATGTTAAATGCGCACATAGAAAGAAATTCCATTGCAAAGCCGGGGATCGAACCTACGACCTCAGGTATGAGAGTCGCAAGCTGAAGCCACTAGGCCAACACTGCTCTTTACTAATATGGCCACGAAAAAGTTTGTTTTATATTGTATTACTTAACGCACTTGCGAGCCCGCTGGATATGTGAGTGTCTATGGGCGGCGAAATGATTTAACATCAGATGAGCTTCCTTTGTTACAAAAATAAATAAAATCCTGTATTTTCTTACTACTTTGGTTATAAGCATAAGCATATTGCTAACTCAATCTATTTTCGTGACAATATCGATTTAATTAGCGAGTCGGACACTCTGTTCCTGCAACGCGTTTAACAATATTGTTTATATGTGATAAATAATACCTATAAATAACAGATGCACTCAGTTCATACGATATGATAATAAACAGTTCATATATTATAAAACAGGTCATGAAAGTAGACAAGAGTTGTAAAAGATTACGTCTAACAGCCTGGCCACGGGACATTCGCCGATGCGAATATTCGCGCGGTGCGAACGGCGATGCGTCTAGCGACTGAAATAAACTCATAGCAATGTACTAATCAAGCCACGCGCAACGGCGACCGGCGATGCGACCGGCGAAATGTACCGAGCGAATCGCGCGGGCGACTGACGTCGCGACGGGCGAGCGAAACAAATGCATGAATCAGTACGGTGCAAGCCACGGAGTCGAGCGGCAGTCGCGGCGAATAGAGAAGGGAATAAATAAGTTTAGTCGTGGTCGCGGCGAAAAATGAATACAGAGTTTTTTATTACTGAAATACTGGCTAGACCAGCTATTTGGAAGTCTGGCCATCCACAGGATTAATTTAATGTACCTTAATGTCAAAAATAATTTTTCATAAGAGCAGGTTCTAATATCTGGTGCTATAAACAAACAAATGAGAAGGTCTATCGTTCGCTGTTGTTTTACTTTCTTTAACATCAGTGGAAAAACAGATGCAGAAGTTCTATATAAGTTAGGTTATAGTAATGCTATGGTTTAATAGCTGTTCTACCAATTTTATTTATTTATTTGCATATGCAAGAATTAACAATAATAATAATCTTAAAATACTACATAACTCATATTATAACACAAAGTGAGCCTTAGCCTCCATCTTCAGCCTCCATCCCTTCAGCAGCCATCTTCGACGATTTTGCGCTGCATACCAGTCCCTCTAGACGACGTGCGACGGTCCATATGCTTTCTAGACACCCCGATCTTCTCTTATTCTCTCTAGTGTGTCTAGGTGGCCTCTTTCAGAGTTTATTGGCTTTGGCTTCCCACATGATGTTGAGTTGGGGTACCATCTCAAATTCTTCTGACCCTATAACCTCAATTTTTTTATTGCGCCATGTATTTCCGCAGTTCTTTCCTTTCGGCTACCAATAATTTCTCTTCTTTTCACCCATATACACTACTATCAGAATATTGATTTAAAAAATCTTAAGAGATATATATGTCTATTGTATGTATAACAGATATGGGTATATTACAATAGTATACCCATATCTGTTAGAATGAAGAGGTTATTGATAATAATTATGTGTATGAATAATTGGTAAAAGCTTACCTTACCTTAAGGCTATGCTACGGGCGTAGTACGAAGGAGAATACTTGGTAATATTTGTAAAGAGTTTAAGCTATTTACTCCATGCTCCTCATTCCTAACTAAATCTTCCTTATAAATGCCACGACCGGAATATCTATTTGCGTATTATGTTACAAGTTGTTTCTTTGTCATATGTAATAAAGAAATTACAATGAAGCCTGGTATTAAATAGCTCATGGCGTGTTTTTGTTCAGTGTCATATTACTTGCAAATACTGAATGGTAAATATGTGTCGCAGCGCAAATATCGTAAGCATTTATTTTCAAAATAACGTTAAGAATTTATTATATTTATTAATATTAAAATTCCTATCTCAAAAACGATTGAAATCCCATTTCATAACTCTTATTTTCTTGATGAATCCTTTAAGGTCATAGAATTCACTTCTCGTCCCATTCGCTTAGCTCCTTCTCTATCTTCCTTGAAATCTCTACTGTACAAGCATTACCTGTGCACATCGTATCCCTAACTGATCTGAAATTATCGTGATTCATGTATACTTTTTCTTTTTTTATTATTGTCCCTTTCACTGTATACAATATACATGTTTTAATTGCTTTGTTCCAGTTTTGTACAAGTAACTATATGTCTTATGTAGTTTTGCACTTCTTGCGCTCACCTTTTCTATTTTTTTCCTCACAGTGGTTGCCTGGAAGGAATCGATCAGAAAGCGATAAGTCCGCCAGTTGATCTCCTTTTTGTTTAATTATTTTAATTGTACTGTATTTCTGTATACTTTCAACGAAGTGTTAATAAATAAAATATATATTAAATGAATAATGGTTTGGTATAGCGTCTGCTTATAGGCAGCATTAGATAATACTAGAACCTAGGGCATTGAGTAATATCGAGTCTGTGACCGTGAGTAATATATGTGATTACACTGTTATATGTATAGATGAAGTCATCCGTATATTTGAAACTAGATCAATTAGATTCGGTGACAATATATAAAACGAAAGATCATATTAATCAATTATGTTAAGTGTCCAATAAATGTTTGTAATGAAATGATGTCTAAAAATGACCTTGAAACGATCACGTCAACTTTCTGACACAAATCATTTCTTTCGTTAAGATGTCATACAATGACTTTCGTACTAATTGATCTGAAACTGGTCTGAAATTATGGTGATTCATGTGCACTTTTTCTTTATCGTTTGTCCTTTTTTTAATGTTATCCTGTTTACTATTTACATATGTTTTAATTTCTTTGTTTTGTTCCATTAGTTTTGTCTAAATAACTATATGTCATGTATTTTTACACTTCTTGCGCTTACCTTGCGCTACCTATCTAATTTTTTCTCAGAGTGGTTGTCTGGAAGTGTTAAAAGCGATAAGGCCACCAGTTGTCCTCCTTTTTATTTATTTATGTCAATTGTATTATATTTTGGTACATGCAACGAAGTGTTAACAAATAAATAATAATAAAATAAATAAACTACATAATATAATAAAAAATTAATTAGGTATGCCTCCTTTTTGAAGTTTAAGAATAGATTTTTTTGGCCTAGACGTATTGAATTTTGGAAATATGTTATATGGAGCAGTGTTTTCCACCGTATCTTGTGTCATGTGCATACGTAAGGCCTTTCTAAAATTCTTATGCAATCTTTATTCATATAAAAAAAATGGTTCTCTTAAGAAACTTAAGTGATAGGTTTTAGGAATTACTTGGAAATTTTAATGAACTTACTCTTACTGTATAGATAGTTAATTTTCAAAAAATGAAAATAAGCAAAATAGAGCTCATTTATAAATTATTAATATCGATCCAAACCGCCTAGGCATGAGCCTAGATATATGAGTATCTCGTATTTTTAATAGACATTGTTAACGTAATCAGTGAAATTTATTTCCTAACCAAGTGTCCTTATTCGTATGTAGGTTGTCGTCGCCCCGCATACGATTAATTGTTTTCTTTAACATGACTCATGCTGCATCGATTAAAGCCGGTTCATCGGTTTATTTTTTTGGTTGTACTTGTTTTATATAATTCTCAAATATTTCTTTTATTTATACGTTCTAAAATAATGTGTATGCTTAAAAAATACAAGAAAATATGACATCACAAATTTCATCACATACACAGCAATTATATTAGACCATAAGCAATCTATCAAAGGAAAAAATTAAACAAACAAAATAATAATAACCAAAACTAAAAGAAAACTTAAACCTCATTAAGAGCTTGATAAACAAAGTTACGTTAAGTTGGCAGACTGTTGTAAAACACATCAATATTTTCATCGATGTTAGTAATCAAGTTGTAAGAGCGAGATAGCCTATTCACTGGACCATTCAAAGTAGCAGATATGAAATAACCTGCATAACTACATATAATTATTGTTTGTAGGCTATAAAGAAACAAATAACCAACCAAATAAGAATAACCAACTGAATTTCTTGCGTCGCGTCGGCTAACTGTGGAGCGTCAATGTTTCAATTGGTTTGTGACGTTTTACGTACAATTTTAATGGTTATAATGTTATAGTGTATATGTCACTGGCCTTAGTATATAAGTAAGTTATTTAAATATGTTCGACGTCCTGGTGGACAGAAAAACTATGTTCAGTTTGTGTTTCCACAATACCAACTTATTTTCTACTTAAGATCATGTATATAATAAATAAATAAATAATTATCGATTTAATAGTTTAAATTGAAAGATAACGCGATCTAAAAGAGAGCTTAGATAACACAGAGAATATAACACGTAAACATATATTTTATACATATATTTATTTATTATAATTAAAGAATTGGGTTTAATAATGTTTCTAAAATCAACATCAATAAATGCTTAATATGTATTTTTCAGGAGGGACCCCACTCTACCCTTCCAGACGACGAGTTCTATGATGCGGTTGAGACAGGCTTCGACAAAATGGAGGAGGAGCGGTGTGCCCGCGTGTCCTCACCCACGGAGGTCACAAGGGACGAGGTGGAACTGCCACCGCCGGCCATTGATAACAGACTAACAGTGCATCCATTGTGGGCAGAGGTAAGTTACAACAGCAATGCAATTTCTATTAAAATAGTATTAATAACATGAATAAATAGAAAACTAAAATAAATTTAAAAAGTTTAGGTCTCTGTGGTATCTTTAATGCTGGCAGCATTTCTCCTCTGTATTGCGATACTTACTCGTTGAGCGAGGAATGCACCAGCTCTGGGGTCAGGGTACTATCTACCAGACGCCAACTTAAATGTTTAATTAGTAGGCCCAAGAGCAAGGAACAAAATCAAAGAGGGTAGACTTATATTTTTCCTGTTTATTATTTTCCGTCTGCTCTACGGCCGTGTCAGCTTTTGTGTTTGTCCAAGGGAGGTGAGAAGGGGCTAACGTCTCCGCAAGTAGCGTCCCAAAATATTAAATAAAATACAATAATATCAATTGAAGTCCCGTAACCATCCAGTTTCCATTTAAATTATTGTTACGCCGTATCCCAGGATTTTCGGATAATTATAATATGCTCAAATACGCCATATAAATTATCGTATTTTAGAAGAGCTTGTAGATTTCGGATTCCCAAACCATAAGTAAAATAAAGTAAATCAGTGGCTACAACCTTTTAAGGTCTGAGCCTCAGATTTCTGAATCTGTTTTATGATCATTTGTTTTATAAATTTTTGGGTATAAGGTTTCCTCACGATGTTATCCTTCATCGTTCGAGCGAATGTTTAGTTTTTTGATGCGGTTTTTTTCTATTGATATCGGTTACATATTTCGAAATCCGTAATTTTCGGTTAAAAATACACGTAATAAGACGTGTAATACGTTAATAATTACAATTCAAACATACTTACATTGACGTACACGATCGTCGGTCTTATACTTCTTTTGTTTGATTAGATGTAACACTACTTTTCTTTAAAAATGTTTTAAATATGCACCATATAATAATTTTTATCTAACAACTCACAACACTGGGGCTCCCTAGTGTGGTCCCCAGACATATTTCTATCATGAATAAAGTTTGTCTTGTCTAAAATTAAAAGTTCCAGCAAAACAAATATATTAAATTCATAAACTGTATATATATCCGTTTCTTATATTTAATGTGTGTTTGATATGTGATAAAACATAATTTCAATAGAACCCATAATAAAATACTTACATGTAGATTACAAATTCCATTGTATATGTTGCGGTAAGCGATATAAGTAGCAAGACTATCGGTTTTAAAAATATTTTCTTGAGAATAATATGATATTATCCAATTCATATATTATTTTAACTAGATTATAATAAGTGTACAGTATAATTATATAGATTCTTAGATGCGTCGTTTCATAATTCTTGTGACTTAAAATAACTTTTTCGATTCTACTAAATGTTCAATAATAATAGAGCAGTGTTGGCTTGAGCTTGCGATTTAGTGAGGTGGTAGCTTCGAACCGAATCATGCACACCAATGGACATTCGTGCCTATGTGTGTATCTAACAACAGGAAACATCGTGGAGCAACTAGTTTGCCTTAGATCTAAACATCGACGATATGTCGAGCCTGTGTTAGAAGCCGGCGCAGAAGGCTGCTCTTGGCTAAATAAATCTGAGGTCCTGACTTATCCGCGGTTGGGTTGTAGCGTTACTTGCTTAATGATAAATAAAGACACATTTCGCAATTTAGTGAGATATCGTTTATAGGGGATATATTAAGTCTCTATTTGTACAGCGACATCACTTACTACAAAATAAATAGGTTCGACGACGCGGACACAAAACATAATTATTAAAAAAAAAACACTAATTTAATTTAAATAGAAGTATTAATTGTATTATTTGTAGGAGGAAACTGTTTAAACGTTAGCCAAAAGGCCTTACGTATTACAATAATGATACAGTTTTAATTGTTAACATCTGATAACATTCACATTGCGTAATCAAAACCTGTATTAATATGATGTCATCGTAATAAAATTTGGTTACAATTATAAATACCACAATAATTTGCAATTTAAAGTAAGTCTCCAACTCTTTATTGGTGATATACGCCATCAGCTGAAACTAGAGCAAGTCAAACCTAGAAAGAAATACCATTGCATAGCTAGGATATATCATGTCTTCATATTTATGCCATAGGAACCTTTGTGAGTAAACCCAACTACTTCATTAATTACCACTCAAGCGATTTTCCTTGAGGTTAATGCCCGGTTCACATTATTCCAGCCCAGTGCTAGACTGGAATGGAACGTCCTCATTATTCCAGACATTCAAAAGTTAGATAGGTGACAATGCTTTCAAGAAAGAAGTTAAGAAATTTGTTTTAAAACTGTTAAATTATTACTGTTAGAAGAAGTAGTTGATGAAGTGGAAGAGTGGGTGAGAAATTGGATAAGCGAAAGAAATGAAAAAAGAGGCTCAGCAATGCTTTTGCAACGGCTAGAATTAAAAGATTCCTTGGAATACAGATTGGCAATGAGAATGACATCAGAAAAATTTGATGAGTTCCTATTATTAATGATTTTTTTCATTAATGACAAATTAATCACACACATTACTCCAGAAGCATTCCCTTGCTGGACTGGAATGCTGCTGGAATAATGTGAAGCGGGCATAAAAAGACTAAATAGTTCGTCATGATCGTAGAACAATGTCGGATTTGAAAAAAATCCAAAATCCACTTTTTATCATATTTGAATACTACATTGACTAAATATTACAGCTACATTAAAAAAATTCCATGTGTTTTAAATTTCAAATTAATCAGTCGGTAAAGTGACGGATTTGATAGACGCTTATAGAAGCATGTGATTTTTCTAGAAAACGTGTGTAATTTAATGTTATAATTTTTATTTTGTTTCCAAACAAACCCTTTTGTTTGCTTTTATGCCAATTTTCATAATAACAGAATATGAATTAAAAAGTTATGACAAAAAAACTAACATGATTATATTATTTTGAAATGGCTGCCCTGTAAAGTTTACTATTTGTCAGATCCGTCACTATTCTACGACGAGTTGTTTGTTATAGAATACGTTACAATTTATATCATTGTAACGTTCATAAGGTTTCTCCTAAGGAACAATAACTTCCGTGCAATTTGTGGAATTCATATATTTGAACTAATTCGATTATGATAACCTTACTGGAAGACCTTTGCAACTTGTAAGGTATCGTAACAATAATAATTAAAAGATCAATAAATGTTAATTTATCAAGAGAATTGTAATTTTGAACAAAAATATAACTATATCAAGTGGACAATTGTATCGATTAATATTTTTAATATTTGAAGAAATGGGACAAGGCAAACTCGTTTGTTGTCTGATTCACAAATGTTTATTTTAAACGGAATATAGTATATTCAGTAACAACTAATTTAAAGCTTTTGTACTACCGAAGCCTTTTATTAGTGAGAGAAAAGACTTTGTATATTATAATATAAAAGCACTTGCATTATTTATTATTATTTATTCAATGGCGCTACAAGCCTTGATTTCTTCACCTTTTAATGAATAATTTTTCTTTAGGCTAGTAGATTTTAAACACTATGCCTGATGTCGTTTATTGGACCAAGACATGCCGATGTCCTCACGATGCTGTCTACATAAAAATCCATCCTTTGGGATCGCTAGGACTCCAATAGATCGAGTACGATCGCTTAACTGCTAGCTCATAAATATAAATAAAAAAAATATATCCATTAGTCGAGTACTACACTACTGTAAACTTCACTAAGTCCATGTCATTATGTTTTACACTAGTACTCGACCTCCGACGGAGTGAAGGTCTCCTCCAAATTATTCAATTTCTCTCTATTTCTCGAGACAATTTTCCAATTCTACCCCGCTATCCCTTTTATTACATCTTCCCAAGTTTCTGATGGGCGTCTTCTCTTTCTTTTTTTCACTGGGTTATTCCAAGTAAGGGTGTCTTTGACCCATCTGCCATCACAAATGTGGGTAATGTGACCAGCCTATTCCTTCGGCTTATATATATTGCCTAATAAATATAAATACGTACGTGATATTAATAGATATTTTAATTTAGATCGACAGGATATCCACGGAACAGATTCAGGCTGCGTTTGAAGGTGTAGGAGGAGAGATTGGTTGGCAGCTCTTCGCTGAGGAGGGGGATATGAGAATGTATAGGAGGTAAGATTTAACTGGCTGAAAATTTGTCTTATTGTCGCTATCAGTATAACAAACGGAAGTTCATACGGAATTGCTTGGTAAAATCACTTCAGCCGTGCGATTCTGTTATTCCGTGAGTTCACATTTTTGGAGTCTCATGGTATTCTGTTAAGCAATTTCACATTACGTCTTGACAAGCGAAGGGAGCTTGTAGTTTATTGTTCATCAGAATGCAAAATCGTAAAATGACTGCTTTACGACTGATTAGAGCGCGACCGCCGCTGCGAAAACCGCTGTGAGAGTTTGAAAAGTGAGTAACAGAATCGCGAGGCAGTAGACGGTGATCACAGATATACTTTTACACCCCTGACTAACTTTTAATGATTGTCGTAAAAATCGGTGGACATTTTCAGCAACTCCATAGAAAACTTTCGCTGGATCGTTTTAGCAACCTTGCTATTATTATTATTATTTTCTTTATTCCTACATAATTATGTATTTAAATTGTATATTCGCGGATGCTTGGCGGACCCATGCGACTTCTTCGATACAAAAACTCCTCTCGGGAATGTGCTGCGATATTATTTATTTATTTATTTACTAACACTTCGTTGCATATACATTAATATAGTACAATTGACATAAATTAAATAAAAAGGAGAGCAACTGGCGGCCTTATCGCTTTCGAGCGATCTCTTCCAGGCAACCACTGTGAGAAAAAAAAAAGTATTAAATTATATAAGATAGGCAAGAAGTGCAAAAATACATGTATTACATTTAGTTGTTTATAAAAAGAAACTAAACAGGAACAAAAAACAAACTAAACTAATAAAGAATACATGAAAAAAAAAATTATAATACTTAATAAAAAGTGCACATGAATCATTATAATTTAATTTCAGAATTTAATTTAAGATCAGTCTCACGACAGTGGTAGGTACCTATTATTAAAGTTAGGGATACGATGTGGACAGGTAATGTTTGTACAGAAGAAATTTAAAGGAAGATAGAGAAGGAGCTAAGCGAATAGGGACGGGAAGTGAATTCCATATTACGGGCTACTCGATGTCTTTTTAAGTTCTCATGTCATTTTCACACGTGTAAATGCTTTCTGTAAGATGTTTTCATAAGTATCTGATTGTTCTTGTTTTTACATGTGTGATATTTGAAAGCAAAAATAAAATAAATAAATGGAAGTTTGAAGATTAGCGTTACTAGAATCATACAAAAATTTGTCTGTTGTAAGACTTACAAAAATGTGTCTGTTTTAAGACTTACAAAAATGTGTATATTATAAGACTTACAAAAATGTGTCTGTTTTAAGACTTACAAAAATGTGTATATTATAAGACTTACAAAAATTGTCTGTTGTAAGACTTACAAAAATGTGTCTGTTTTAAGACTTACAAAAATGTGTCTATTATAAGACTTACAAAAATTGTCTGTTGTAAGACTTACAAAATGTGTCTGTTTTAAGACTTAAATGAAAGATTTATGGTGGTAGTCTTGGTTTTACTTTAAGGGTATCTAGATACCTACCGGATAGAAATCGCTGTCCTTATTCATAAACAAACAGTTAAAGAATGTTTTGTTACTTTTATTCATTTTTGAAGTGAGCATTGAGCGACAAGGACTCAATCTTAGTCGTTTCACTCTTTTCGTGGTAGTCGATTGGAATTCGATCAGAATCTAGTTTAAGGCCGGCCTTGTATTGGGGTGATTCAACTAATTGTGTTTTAATATTTACAGAGAAATGGAAGTAGATGGAATGGTGATGGATCCGCTGAAAGCGATACACAAAGTCCGGGGCGTGTCTGCGAGGGAGATGTGCCATTACTTCTTCAACCCGAGATACCGATATGAGTGGGAGAGTAAGTTTATACCTTTAACCCTATTATTTTCGTCGAGACTCTAAAGTATCCATTTTAAAATGTTTACACGCGTCTTTATAGGTACTTACTAGTCTTATAAGAGATTTTATAAAGTCATTTTGGATCGTTTCGATTTTATATTTGTGTACTGTGTAACTAGATGAACAAACCGAGCAAGCATTTAAAAATTTTTTTCACCGTAATTATTGCACATTCGGAAACTTTATTCGCTGTTTCATTTGTGTAATTTGATGTCACCATTCGAATAAATGAACAATTCCAGCGACCCTAGAGACGATGAACATCGTGGAGGCCGTGTCGTCGGACACGCTGGTGTTCCATCAGACCTTCAAGCGCATCTGGCCTGCCTCGCAGAGGGATGCGCTCTTCTGGTCGCACGTGAGGGCTGCGCCCCACAACACCTACGCTGTCACCAACCACTCCACCGCGCATCCGGATTACCCGGTTAGTGCTACCCAGTTAACCGGTTACACTGAATATTGACAGAAATATTTATCTGACCAATATATATTACCACTGCCCACTGAAGTATTTCCGAACCAATTTGACTTAGGGTCCTTCAGGAAAAGAGCGAACCATTTCTTAAAAGGCCGCTAACGCCCTCGCAAACCGTCGAAAAAATAATAATAGCTTACAAATATTATATATTTTAGTTTTTGATGCTATTGAAACGTTTCATATTATTTTTACGTCATCTTACCAATGCTTTCTATCTTTATCTTTAACTCGTCGTCATACATATTTTTTTTGTTTTATTTGATAAGAAATCATTCAATATACATAATTAAGGTTAGGGGAACTAATATCATAGTTATTTGCTACTTGAGTTAAGTTCGGTGGCGGTTGTTGGAGAGATGTTCAAATAAATGATTCACTTTGTTCGAAGCTAAGTGTCAACTGTCTTTAATCGTTTAAAACCAGAGTTAATTAACATAAAATTATGGTAATAAAAACCTGTAACTTAACCTCATTTATTTTCGTAATAACGTATTAGAATTTATTGGTATGCGCTTTTAAATTATTAAATAATTAAACGAAAAAAACATAAAGTATCAAGATTTTTGTCGAACAATGACGTAATAGTTTCAAAAAAAAAGCTTTTTAAAATAGCAGCAACCTTTTAAAGAAAACACTTTTTTACCGGAATGAAGTTATGTATTATTGTAGATTTACAATTATTTTACATAATTTTAAATTTTTCCGACGTTTCGCGTGCTTTACAACGTGCGTTTGTTTTGAAAATCAGCATCATAAGTTTGTCTTGAAAATATTCCAGTCCAACACGGGGGCCTGCATCCGTCTGCTGGTGACGGTGTGCCTCGCGTGTCGCTCCACGTTCCCGCCCAACGAGACCCCCGGACGGGATAACATCACCACCAGTATCGCTTACTGCAGTACGGGTGAGTTCACTGTTCATTCATTATTATTTAACTGACTTGAAAAAATATGTCATCGAATCGAATGCACCTTTTGTGTTTGGCAAATTTAGAGATTCTTTACTGAGATTTTAATAAAACTTTTAGTTATTTTTTTAGCAGTGTTAGCCTAATGGCGTCAGCGTGCAACTCTCATACCTGAGGTCGTAGGTTCGATCCCTGGCTGTGAACCAATGGACTTTCATTCTATGAGCGCATTTAATATTTTCTCGAACGGTGAAGGAAAACATCGTGAGGAAACCGACATGTCTTTAACCGAAAACTTCGACGGCGTGTTGCAGGCGCTGGAGGCTGATCACCTACTTGCCTATTAGATTTAAAAAACATCATGAAACAGATTTAGAAATCTGAGGCCAAGACCTAAAGAGGTTGTAGCGTCGCTGATTTATTTTTATTAGCTATTTTTAATAATCTCTTCATTAAATACACAAAACAGAAATTTTAACGATTTTACTTGATCGCCAAATACTGACGTTTTTATGATAAGGACTTGATGATAATTATACATTAACATTGTCAAAGTCAATATTTAATTGATATTATTTATTTATTTCGTACGTTCGTGAGTTTTTTATAACATTTTTAAGCATTTTTTAGCTACATTAAATATTAGGTCCTTACATATGAAATTGGCGTTTTGTATGGGAGGAACAAAAAGTCGAATATTTTTAAATAAAATATATTTAATTAATCAAAGTATGAACCATTGTTTTCTACGCACTTTTGCCATCTCATAGGTAGTTCATTGATCCCTTTACTAAAACAACCAATCGGACGGAAATCAATAAAATCTGTGAAGGCAATTTGGACTGCACCGTCAGAGTTAAATTTTTTCCCTTGCAAGAAGTTGTCCAAATTTCGAAAAAAATGGTAATCTGTTGGAGCAAGGTCCGGGGAGTACGGAGGATGTCTTAGACATTTCAATTGAAGCTCTTCTAATTTGGTAGCCGTCTGTTGTGCAGTGTGTGGTCTAGCGTTGTCGTGAAGTAGCAGTGGCGTGGAGCGATTGACCAGCCTAGGTTGTTTAGTCGCTAGCTTTTCCATCATGGTTTGCAATTGCTGACAATAGACATCAGCCGTAATACTCTGGCCAGATTTGAGAAAACTGCAATGAACAATACCGGCACTAGTCCACCAAACGCTTACAAGTAACTTTTTTGGGGTTAATTTTCGCTTGGGGCAGGATTTGGCTGGCTGGCCAGGATCCAACCATTGCGCTGAGCGCTTCCGATTATCGTAAAGAATCCATTTTTCATCACAGGTAATGATTCGGTTTAAAATAACTTCATTATTGTGCCGGTTCAGTAATGTAACGCAGCAGTCGACGCGCGTTTGCCGGTTTGCTTCAGTCAATTCGTGAGGTACCCATCTTTCAAGCTTTTTAATCTTCCCAATTTGCTTCAAGTGAATTAAAACAGTTTTATCACTAACACCGCAGCCTGCAGCTAACTCGGACGTGGTTTGCGATGGATCCGCTTCCACAATAGCCTTCAATACTTCATTATCAACTTGGGTCTCAGGCCGTCCACGGGGCTTGTTCTGCAGGTCGAAATTTCCAGAACGAAAACGTTGGAACCAAAAACGAACTGTGTTTTCTTTTGCAACATGACCGCCATACACATCATTCACCCTTCGAGTCGTTTCCGCAGCACTAGTGCCACGGCGGAACTCGTACTCGTAAATAATGCGATACTTTAAGTTTTCCATTTTGTAAAATGAGTGACGCAAACAGAAAAAAACAGAAGAAAAACACAAATGAATGACGGTCATCGAAGCACAAATACACGAGTAAATAGCTGTACAAATTTGAATTTGGAATTCCTTACCAAAGAGGAGAACATCGTGATTAAAGTGGCCAGTACGAAAAACGCCAATTTCATATGTAAGGACCTAATATCTATTTGCTTGGAATTGTGTTATAATTTGAAGGTATACGCAACTGAGTTACGTAAAGTTTGTATTAGACCAAGAAATTTGAAATAGTTGGGTTTGCCTTGCATTGATGAAGAAGGGGTGTGAATTAGTAAAAGCAAGTAATAATAATTTTGGGATAATAAACTAAAAAACTATATTTAATTTAATTAAATTTTCAATCAATCAAAATCAATTAAATTTGATTATTGTCAAATTTATCGAAGTCTCGAAGCTGGTTTTTGTATCGAGGTGATTTGTGCATAATTCACATATCTGCTTATAATTATTTTGGTCATTGACCGCATTTGCGTGATTAATTAAAATACTATTAATTCAGCGAATAGCTTTCCATTTGACCTTTTAATGAAATAGTGCCCTTATACAATATACTGGGAATTCTGTTGGAAATTAAAAATGCTATTAATTTTTTTTAATTTGTTATATTTTTACATACATATGTTTTTGTATTTGACAATGCCTGTCACAAAATCAATATGACGCACACGAGCAAAGCTCCATGCAGACTATTTTTTTAAAGTATTACCTTTCTCGAGAAGGTTCTTCATTATGTAGTGCAACCTTTTTAGGTCTGGGTCTGAAATTTTTTATCTGTTTCATGATCAATTGTCAATCTAATAGACGAGTCGCCTTCGACTTTTGGATCTAAAGCAAGTCCCTTTCCTCACGATGTTTTCCTTAACCGTTCGAGTGAATGTTAAATGCGTACATAGAAGTCACAGCCCACAGTGCACAGCCATTAGGGATGAGAGTCGCACGCTGAAGCCCTAGGTCGACACGGCTTCTTATTGGACGAATACGGACGAATTTAAGTTCTGTCAAAAAATAACTTCAAGCAATTATTTGCAATTTATATTTATTGTGATTTTCCCTTTTCAGTAAACCCCGGCGGTTGGGCGCCGGCTGGGGCCTTGCGAGCGATCTACAAACGTGAATATCCGAAATTCCTTAAACGATTCACGAACTACGTGGTCGAGCAATGTCGGGATAAACCCTTAGCTATCTAAAAATATATAAAGAAGTCTGTTGGGATATCGTTTGTACCGTATTGGTTAAAATCAATATATTTATTGTTTTTGTGTCTGGACACACTGAAGCTCGGGTTACAAAACTATTAACTACTAAAAATAGTCCACACAAAATATTTCAAATTTACGCATTACCTATTCCAGCACTAGAAGATTTTGACGCGGTTAGGCGAACGAGGCCTTATTTTGATTGTTAGATCTCATAACTTCCTACTTAAATTGTTTGTCAAAGTCAAAGATATCTATGTATGTATGTCAAATTTCGTAAACACAGTGGGAGCAAATACACGATTATGTCGAAATTATTTACTATTGTAAGTTGTCAAAGTGATTGAGATGTTACTTTCTTCAGTTTTTCGACCGTTATAATAACGCGTTATAATACGCGTACACGTGCTCTCAGAGCCGACAAGCGTGTACGCACAAACTGCTTTATAATTTGCACGCATCGCCTAGAAGTCATCAGTATGATCCGACCATCTCTTCTAATTTATAATTTTCCTTTAGATTTTTAATTTTGGCAATTGTATCAGTTGACGGCGGACTATCTAAATCTCTTTGATGAATATTAATTTTTTAGTATTTTTGAAAGTGAAGATATATATGCTATACTTGAAAATACTGTATATAGTGAAAAGCAATAGATCTGTAATCTATGTAAAGTAAACTGTATAATGTAATATATGTCTGATATGTATAACCAAACAAATATCTTAGGACATATTTACGTTTTAAATGATTATTATACGTTAGGACTAAAAATATAATATAAATGTATTTATAAGATGTACGGGGGTTGTACTGTTGTCGTTTGAGATATGTTTATTGCGGCCCTTTGCCCATTTGCACATTAGCCCATTTGCCTCGAGGCTTATTGGAGTTAAAGCTAACTGTCGGTTTTGAATGTTATCTTTTGCTGTTGGAACCTAAGTTGGAAATTGTCATTTGTCACGTGACACGAGAATTGTCTAAGTCTGCTCATTTAATTGTCAATGCACGAAAACCAATGTCCATCACTGGGTATTGGAATCGTCTGAGTTCCTGATATTGCAATTGTATTGTGTTTAAAATGGCGGATTTTAGATAATTTAATTAAGCTTGAGACAAAGTTATCCGTAAAGCTAAGCAAATCTGTATGGTAATGACATTAGGTCACGCTTTGTCACGTGACAGTTTTCATACAATTTGTTACGCCTCCTGAAATGTGATTTTGTCTCTGCCCCTGGGCTAGGTTAAGTTTTTTATCTGTCGGTCGTAAATTATCAAATGTCAAAAATACAAACTGTCACCCATGGTAACTTTGACTAATTAAAGTGACTCGGCTGTCACACAGGCGACATAATGGCCAATATGTTCGATAGATTTAAGGGATTCAGGCACTGTCTATTTCCGCCATGTGTATTAACCGAATTAAATTAATGAAAGATTTATTTTTTATGCTCAATTTATCTGACGCGAATTAAATATCGTTAAGTGTAATTTGATGAAGTCGAACGATCGTATCGAAACTTTTAAGTAAACATTTAATCGTAACCGCGGTTCACTGGCGCCGTCTCGTTTTATTAACCGGTGAGTGTAAGGGTCAGCAATATAGTAAGTTATGACTTGGTTTCCAGTTTGCCACTCTGGCCAACTAACTGTAAGTTCACGTTTATTGTGCAAATATTCATTTAAAGCCAAAAGCTGGGCACATATGTTGTGCCTCATTCATTTTTATTATTGTAAAGCAGTGTTTTGGGTTCAATGCGCGCATTTAACACTCGCTGGTACGTTGAAAAGGTCTATAAAATATACAGGCCAAGAACTAAGTGCCACTTTTATTATCTTATTTTAGCAAGTTAATTTTTTTTTTAATTCTATAGAGGAAAAGAACGTGTTGCGTTGGCTTAAAGTTACTATTTGATTTCTATTTGAACCGACTTCCTCAGACTACATTTATCGTTACGTGAAGTACTTATTTTGTTTGGGCACAGACTATAAAAATCATGTTAGACTATTATTTTTTAACTTGACTTTTATTTTATTAACATTGAGCTTCCGCAAATTTCATTCCAAATATTTTATATACAGATTTCCTAAACTCGTATGCTAACTAATAAATTAATTATTTCTTTGACGGATAGATTATATAGGGATCGAGCTTTGTCAACGTATTTGTCATATTTGCAAATGAATGACTGTATAGGATTAGCATACCGGTTTTGGGATTTGGTGAAACAGATCGAATTGATGCCATAACGGAATTATCGTGAGTACAAAGGGACCTATTTGTTATTACACTTTCCGTATTCTGGATTCACCGTTATTTAGTTTAGATATTTTAATATTATATATAATTGATTGTGTTAGAGTTGTGTGAAGAGTAAGCCCCTTTTTGAGATATATATCCTTATTGCACCCTTTCAACTAAAGCGTGTCTGTTTGAATAAATTATAAACCCAATTTGACCGAAAGAGACTAGTACTATAGTTAAAAGGGTGCAATTGGGCGGCTTTTTTTAATAAGGGGGTAGGTTCTTATATATTTTCAATAAATATAGTCGCAGTATAAAATGATTTAAAAAAAACAAGGTTTTTAACTCTATTTTCCGAATTTGGTTATCAACTGTCATTTTCAAGTTATGTCCGTGTCGATGTCTTTGTCAATGTCAAGTTGTATGACAAATTGTATATATCATGTTTAATATATAATCTGTACGTAATATGTGAAAAATTCATGTTTTTGATTTTGATTTATAAAACCAAACAACATACATAACCATCTTCAGACAACTCTAACACATTTTTCAATGACGTGATTGGATAGATATTTTCAATTATGTCAAAGAATATGAATTTTGTGTATATCGAAATCGGGATTAAATTGCATTTAATCTGATTACTGGAATGTCACCTACTATCACAAAATACATCCCCCTGTTTTGGTGGTTAAGTTTGATTACTTCTAAGGACAGACTCAATATGTCTCTCGTATGTCAAATACGTTTTTGACGCATGGAAGTCATATTTGGCCTTGTCTCAAGTTTGACTTTACAGTAGAGGCAGATGCTATGGTAAAGATTATTGTTAGGTAACCCGCCTTTCTAAAATAAAGATATTACCAGAACGTTAAAATATTTAAATTGGGAGGTCTATTTTGTGATAGGTTTTGAGAATGTTTTTTTTAATAATTGTTTATAATAAAATGTTTTATCATTTATATATTGTTTTATTTAACCTATGTCTTATGGAGAAATGCGAATCGTATCGGGATTGGAATTTTAAAACTGCGAGAAACGCGTTTTGCAAAGGGAAGATTGTACCCTCGTACCGGGCACATTCATACATCGAAATAAAACTTGAACGAAACAAAGTATAGTCTTGTTTTTGTATGTGTGCAGAGCGAGGTACGAACTATACATAATCGAAGTTTCGCGAAATTCGCAGATGAGAATGAAGTTACAGGCATGGACGTGTTTTCGGCTAAGTAATTTTTGATAATGTTTTTGTTCTGTTACCGTAGATAAAATAAGTTTTGTGTAGGTATTCTATCAGTAACTAGCAAAATATACTTAGATACGTCTCCAATACTTAATTTATGACGTTTTCCTATTAATATTAAAATAAGTTATATTTTGTTGTTATTCAGTTAGTGGGGTCCCTCCACAGCACTAGATGGGGCACATTGAACGATTACATAAATTTGTATGAAAATATTTTGTCGACACGAACTGTCGTTTTCATACAAATTAAGTTTTCGACTTGCTACTACAAATAATAATAAGGATCTTGACTAAACCCTCTGGTAGGTAGGAAAGATTGTGTTAGTGTGCTAATTGCTCTAATATTTGCATTAACTTTGTCCTGTGTTGCTATCATTGCTATCGTCGATGTATATAATACCTATTTTTATTATCTTTAAAGGTTGATTTTGATGCCTGTGAACCAGATGCTTTGAATAATTTACCAATCCATCAAATAGTAGTTCCTTCGAAGTCAGTTTTGACACCTTAAGGGTTTCGACTCTATCGCATGTTGTAAGAAGTAATAAAACAAACAAAATACACGGCCAGGAAAACCACGAATTTATATGCCACACCCGAAAATAAGAAGTTAATCCCACCAAAGATTAAAGAATGTGATTCTAAATTTAAGATACCTAATAATTAAATTTTGGTTTTCTTAAGAAAAGTATTAATTTTTGTTCACTATAATTAAATATTTTATTTTTGTTTATTAGAAGTTAAATCTTTATTTTTTGTTTAATTTCATTGCTAATAAATGAATTTTGATTTATATGTGTCGTTTTAATCGCACGTACGGAACTACCCCACACGTACGAAGGTACCTCAACACTGTAGAAGGTGCCCCGTTGATGGGGTAGATTCGTACGTTTTCCAGATTTATTTAAATCATATTATGTTGAACCATCAGATGAAATATTTGTCATTTTCTTATATGAATTCAGATAGTTAGACTATAAATTTAAGTTGCAGATGATTGATTCATGGAAAAATAAAATAATAAAAAAATAAAATGTGAAAACGAGAAGGGTCCCGACCTTCCCCTATATCATTTATAATAAAAAAATAGGGGTTGATCGTAGAGGGATGAAAGTTAGGGGTTTGTATGTATTTTTTAATGCTGTATCATAAAAACAGAAAAAAATATCTAAAAATTAAAAAAAATATTTAGGGGTGGACTACCCTTAACATTTAGGGGGATGAAAAATAGATGTTGTCCGATTCTCAGACATACCCAATATGCACACAAAATTTCATGAGAATCGGTCGAGCCGTTTTGGAGGAGTATGGCAACGAAAACTGTGACACGAGAATTTTATATATTAAATAAAATAGCATTTTATTTTAATTTACCCTGGTAGAATAGAAAAAGTGTCGCTAGCTACTTAGTATTAATTTTTATTTTGTAAGATTTACACAAAACTAGTTGATCTTATACTTTTTAAAGCCTTTTTTTATTTGTAGTTTTATTAATTTTAAAATTTTTATTAAATTAAATTCTATAAAATTTATCATAGACATATGTTGGGAATACAATCTCGAGATCGTTAATTCGAGATCTCGTGGGATTAAGAATAACGATCTCGTGAGTCGTGGGATCTTGGGTAGTTTTCTAAAACCAATTATTTAAATCAGACTAGAACACGATGAAAACCTTTAAGATGCGGTATTAAGATCAGATTTTATTTTAAGATTTATATTAATTATAACTGTTCTTATTATTTATTAAATACTTAAGTTAAAATTTAGGCCTTTTTTGTCGAGAAGGGGTAATAATTGACGCTTTTGCGCACCAATGGATTGGCATGAATTTTGCCTTGTCTAAGTGTCGTGTGGACGCCAACTTTATCCATTGGACTATGGTAGGGAGCTCCGAGTCATGGTGGAGATCGACGTTCCTCACGTAGAAGCAAGTCGACTGGAGCGCCTGTATCTGGTGGATGCACTAGCATAGGTCAAGCATGGCCGGATACAAGCCTTGTACAGTGTCTCCTTGTGTCTAAGGGATATCTGACTTCTTTTATTCAGGAGAGAGTAGAGGCGTCACTTAAATGTCACTGCGGACAGTGATATAGCCTTGACCCTGGACCTGGTAGTAGCTATTGCAGGGTGTTGGCCTCTATAAATTGCCGCACGGATTTACGGAACAGGGCATGCTCAATTATAACGTCCACCTTGGCGGACGCATCACTAGTCGACTTGAACGCTTCCGCAAATGCGACGAAATCGTCTAAAGTCTAAACGCCTGACGCCAAACGCGAGATTGAATGCGCTGCGGACGCTGGTGGAGGTCGCAGACGTCTTCGCAAGCACTTGCGGTGAGCGGGCAAGTCCATATAAACATACTTTCGAGAAAAACTGAAGTGGAGCAACTCGCTGCTCACGGAGTAATTTAGGGCGCCATGCCAGGTGGTAACTCCTCTTCAAGTAGGGCTATAATTTTACCGGTCCATATCCCGGCCCGGTCTTTATCAGTCATATCAAAAAGTGACGACACGAGTCGTGCCAAGAGGTCATACTCATTATTATGTTTTTAGATTTTACGCACAATGGATGAATTCAATTTCATTTAATTAACTGAAACTGACCAGAGAACGTAAATTTCGTTAGGGGCCCGTTAATTTTTATTTTCCGTACGATGTATTTGCTAGGCAAATGGAAAAATTTCTTTTTCTTTTAACTGTTCTAAATGTTCAAATGTGCGGTCGCATAAGCTTTCACGAGGGGTTAACTTTTCTAACCACCCCCGGGTTCTCGTATCTACGATCTCGTATGCGCTGTCAAAAATGGCAAATGTGATTCAGATGACTCGCATATACTGTAAACTGGCTTGATTGGTATATTTTTTTCCAGTTAAAGTACTTGGATTTTATTATACCAGGTTTACTCCAACGCTTTTAGAATAAAATAATAACTGGGGAATTATAAATTCTACATTAACATCGATTAAATTACTCGATCGGCAGCAGTACAGCCGACTCTGATATGAAGAATGCAGGTATTCAATGAAATGCAGATTCAATGGAAACACTAGCACATTCGATTTTTATACTGCAGTATAACGCAAACGCGTCGGCAAAATGCGATATTAGCCTTAATATCACGGATCTCCGATGCTATAAGTAGCAGCCTGCTGTGGGCGTATATATAATATTAGTTAAAAATAAAACACAATAAATGGTTTAATTTTATTGACAACACATAACAATGTCATTCATAATGGGATAAACATGTAATCATTTTCAAAAAAACAGAGCCAGAAATTGGTTTCCAAAAATTTCAGTTGGATTTGACGAATCTACGATTTGGAGTTATATAGCCCAAAAAACGCTAGGATTCACATTTAGATTTAAAAACCAAACAGAATCTATCATTTGGCTTACCCTGTAAGAGTATAGCATTTTTTCTATGGATAATAAACACATTTGATTTCTTAGATTGCACACATTGTAGGAAATGGCATTTTGTTGAGCGTTACTTCGTGTCAATTATTAGATTTATAGGAAATCGCTTTAGTTCTTACAGAGTAGCCCCGCTGTTCTCTTGTACGTAAAACTGGAATTTAGTACTATAAATGACATTAGCATAGTCCTTCAGATGTTTTGATTGCTATTCAATGAGATAATATAAACAGATTTATTAGTACAAATAGTTTTTCTATAAGTAACACTGTTTTCACAATGCTTGGGACCAGCCCTTTCAACTATACATCAAAATTACGATACTTATTGTGCAGCACTCCCAAGTATACTTGGGATTAGGAGAAAAACAGAAAGTAATGCAGAAGTAGCCATTCATTTGACTAGCAACTCGGCGACGTAGTATAAGAAATGTAAATATAGCAAGTGTCGCCAGTACTTGGAAATATTGCCGAAGAATACAATTTGGGCAATACTCCAAAAACGAAAAGAAATAAACCAAAAATGCCCATTAATTAGCTATAAATCCAAAATGATTTTGATTAGAAGATAAGTTTCGATTTGAGCTACTTAGCAAATAATATGTATTTATCTCTAAAATGTGCTTTGTTAGTATACGAAAACGGTTAAATATATTTTTATCAATAACACACAGTCATATTATGAGATTGAACACCATATTCTACTTAATAAGTTGCAAGAATTGTTTACAATAATCGAAAAGGCAAAATGTAATTACAACATCTATCAATTAACATTAGACCGTTTATATTGACATTGAGCACGAGAAAGCGTCATATTCAATAATTAATTTAATCATTAAACCTATTATACAATTACCAGCGTCATATAGACGAATACAATCTACATTTAGTACAAGTTAGCCTTATTCGAAAATACTTAAATGAAAAAGGTCCAAGCGACGTTAATCTTTATAAATTATGTTAACATTCAATATATTCTACGTAAGTATAAAATACATGTATATAAGGAATGAAAGAAAGCATCCTTTATTAGAAAAATTCTGTTCAAAACGTTAGAAAAATTTTGAATTTTGATATGACCAGACCGAGATTGGTAAATGTTATAAAATATTGTATAAAAATAGGAATATTCTCAAAGCTCAAGTATATGTGGACCAATTTGACATGAATCTAAAGTGTCTGCTTCTTGTCATGGTTCGCAGGGATGAATTACAAGTCACAGAAATGTTGCCAACAACAAATATGGCACTGCTGTCACGGTTATATTATCTACACAACAATACCCGTCTAAATGGCAACCGTACATCGAATACAATATTTCAATGATACAAGGATAAAAAGACAAATGTGTTATTAACTGAAGTTGTGTTGTCGACAGATTATGAACGAATGCTAAACATTTTGCTGAAGAGTACTTAAAATTAAGATTCGATACTGTAATTTAACATTTTGTATTAACCCAAATACACAGAGAGTATGTAATTATTCACTACATCGAATGTCGTACTACTGTACCTACAATGTGATAGCTGACAACACTACGAACTTTATGACCACATTAATTATGCATTACAATCAAATTTAGAAGCTTTTTCAAATGTTTATAGCATACCCGCGGTTTTATACGTGTTAATTCAGTTGTCCAATAATATCCAAAATTAATTATTTAATCCAATCAGTAGTTTCTTTAGCATGTTTAGGCAAACAAATAAACACTGCATAGGAATAGAATAAAAGTTGGATAAATGTTAAACAAAGTAATATTTTTGTGGTTTTAGTCTTAATAACACATCTCCCAGTTTATTTCTGTATCATTGTCCCTAATATTAAAGACAACATCGAAAAATAAAACCGATTCGTGACAAACATACGGGATTAACACTAAGTAGATAGTAACATTTGAACTATACTAACACGGATATAAGTATATAAAATAAGCGTATTTCCGGACATCCGTAGGTTATGTCCGTTTCAGACTTTTTTACGTAAACATTCACATTCAATGCAAATGCAGAAAAGTCGCTCCCCTTGTACGAGTACTTTGGCATATTTCGTACATTTGTTTATCTAGTAGAAGTAGTCTATTTTTTGGCCCCGATTTGGAAATTCATTGGAGAAAGATGATAGTGAGTGAAAGCTAGGTGAACAGTATAGTGACACTGAAATCTGTCTTAATAAGTAAAGTTTATTTGTTTTAAAATGACAGTTATAAAGTTAAAACAATGTAGTAAGACTGTTTCAAAAATTGTCTTTACTTTAATTATAATTTATAAAAATAGTCTAGAAGATGTAATTAATCGGGACCTGTTTATCGAGTAATGAAGGAAGAAAGTGAATGACTGAACTTTAGTCCAATTTAAATTGCATCAGCACATTGCTTTTAAACCCAGGGTTTTTAGAAATAAGCCATTTGTGACAAAACGGGGCTTTAGAGTCCATTATGGGGCTAAATGGCCGACATGGTTATTTAGTTAATTAAATTCAAGTTTGTTTTTACTCTTCGGCAGTGGGCTGTGAGGTGGAAGGAGGCAAAGCTTGTCTTTGAGCGCGTTTAACATCAGCGATGGTGGTGACACCAGCTTCGTCCAACTCCCGCCAGCGTTGGTGGTTATTGCGGGCATGCGTCACCAACTCTGGCATGTCGATGAAGGCTGCAAAGTTTTTAAATTCAAAGTCAACTTTGAGTAAGATCTAACACTCCCACCAAAACTAAAACTAGCTATAAGATTTTGCAGACGACTTTTTGAATATAGACACTGGGCCCACTTGTCAATAACCAATATTTTTTGTGTCTTACTTGCTCTAAACATCAATATCGTATAGTGCATCTCACTCACTCTTATAAGTAGTTATTAGTAAAAGACTCACCAGACCATGCCTCCATCATGTCAATTATAATATAGTCTATGAATCCGATCTGAGAGCGCGGGATGGAGCAACTGGCGCGATCAAACATAGGCATAACCACTGGGAGCTCTTTCGCCTTCTCCTCGTCTGTTTGGAGGAAGTACTCCTCTGCTATCCTGAAATGAGTAACCGACATATTAGGGAGTAGTCATTTTAAGTAAACTGAATAGTAGGATTTTTATTATAAAAACCAGCATCCGACGCACAGACATTAAACCTAAAAATAGTGCCTTACCTTCTGGCCCATTCGAACGCAAACTTTTGAGGTCGTGAAGCATTAGATACGTCCGCGCATTTGATCATCATCCTCTTCACCAAGATCACGTTTTCCTGTGACGTCAGAGCCGTTGTGTCCAATGATAGTGGTTCCTGAAATTTACAGGCAACTTTAAAATATTTTATTAGACAAATACTTTCTTTAGAAATCAGTTTCAGACAATTTATTTTATTTATACTATCACGCCTTTTTCCCGAAGGAGTAGGCAGAGCCACAGATCTTGCTACGCCCCTGATATACCTCTCTCGCTTCATCCACTTTCATGATATTAACCATACATGCTCATCGGTTATGGGTACTTTTGACTTGTCCCTTCTTTAGTACCGCCTGGAATACTTAAGAAGGGCAAGGGAACAGAAGGGAAGAAGCACAGTAGATTAAAAAGAATAGGATAATAATGACAATCTAATACTTACGTCAGTGTGCATTACGTCCTCTTTGCTACCAGTGCTCTTCGCGTAGAAGACGTTGACAAACTTGGCCAAGTGCTCAAAGTGCTTGGTCATCTCCGTGGCCAAAATCATGTCGATGACGTTGTGCCGTACTGACTTGAACGTGTCACGGTCGAGATTCTTGAATATGTTCACGCGATCGTCATCTGGTTATTAATGTACAAGTTTTCAAATACACAGGAAGAGATACGAATTAACACTTCAAGTGCGGCAGTTTCAATGTTAATTTAAAAAGGTTTTGATTGTAAAGAAGACCAATCCCATAATAACGGCGGCGGCGGATATATAGCAATAAGATACAACTTTGCAATAGATCAACGGTAACCTTGAATCAAATCACACACAACAAAGAACTTACTAAGAGTGAGTTTAAAAGTAAGAGCAGCATGATGAGACTCAAGCACAGCGACGTCATTGTAGAGTATGGCGAGCGAATGGCGAGCGTTGCAGAGAAAGGCTGACGAGGTCCCAGGGTGGTCAATATCGTGGGCCGCTGCAGAGATCAGGGCAGCTGCGGCTTCGAGAGGTTCCAGGAGGTTCTTTAGGCGGTCCTTCTCTATAAAGCATGCCACGGCCTGGAATGTAAAATTAAATTGTGTCCTATAGCAGAAATCGCCACATATTAAAATAACTTCTATGATAACATGTCAATTCTTTTTATGAAAATTAAGAAGTAGTCTCAGCGTTTACTAAAGCAAGCCAAATATTTGAGCCCACCTGCAAGACATCTGCAGCATGTGTAGAGTTATGGTACGTATTAACTGCGTGGTAATTTGTCTCAATGATTGTCAGCCAATGAAGCAGGGTCCTCTCGTCGCATTCGAGAGCAGCGCAGACGTCGAACCTTCCTCCCATCAAGGTCAGGCCAAGATGCGTCAACGGCCTTCCACGGGTCAAATCTTCTAAATGGAATATCTCAAAGTCCCAACATAAGGCTGTATCTAGGATCTCCCTGAGTTGTCCTGATGTCTGTAACGATTGCTTTAAGAATTATTAGATCGATTGGTATCTGATGTTTTATGATATTTTGATGTTTTAGTATGACTTTTGCATGAAAGGCAAACAACCAAGAGAGATGACATTGCTTATGATGCTTTTGAACTTTATTTTCTCTTATTCATAAACCTACTCTCGACTTAAAAAATTATAATATTACACCTTTCAAATTAATAAAACTACATTACGACAAAATCGAAGTACATTTATAAAAAGAGTTTAGAAAAGGTTAACTAAACTACGTTAAAACTAAATTAATAAATATTCAAGTATTACAAAATAAAATTATAAAAATACTGTTCCAGTATAATTATCTTGCACCTACCATAAATATATATCGAGACACAAACATAATGAATCTAAAACAACTTTATATTTATCACACATGTATTATTGTAAAAAAATTTATAACAAGTTCTCTCCACACTAGTTTAGCTTTCTCTAAACCGCCACGTGTACGAAGCATGCGTCGAACGAGTTATCTTGCATTACCTAAAGTACGTACGAACTACGGCAAAAAAATGTTTACCTACGAAGGCGCACAGCTGTATAATAAACTACCCACAGATATAAAAAATATTACTTCTATATATTCATTCAAATCGAAGCTAAGTGAATATGTTAAACAAAATTACTTTTAAATTCATTTCTTATAATTACTTTTAATTCATATTTCTTTGTTTACTTTTGTTTTTAAATTTATTGCATGTACGGCTATATTTTATTGTGATTATTTTAAGAACGACTACAATGTTATGTTATCTAGAGTATTATTCTCATGTAAGTGACATTTTTTGTCTTTTTTGAGAAATAAATTCTTTAAACCTAAACCTAACTAAACTATTAAAAACTTGGCAATTAAATAGAGTGGTAGAGAATTTATTGCCAGTTCTTCTCTTCCGTTCTACGCCCTTGATTTGAGAACTAGCAGTAAATGTAAAATTCTTATATACATAAAAAGCATTTCATATATTTTTTTTGACGTTCATAAGTGTACATTGTGTTACCTATATGATTAATGATTTTGTATTTTGAATACAACTTTCGGTATTATTTTGTTTATTTGAATAAATACCCAAAAGTTTCACCCTATAAAGGACTATGTCTCCTTGGTTGTTGTTAAACTATTAGTTGTATAATTGTGCATTACCACGAACTTGTTGCTCGGTGAACTAGTACTTATTCAACGTATAATATTCAACCAATATTCAGTTTAGGTATCTATATTCATATATTTCTTACCGACTCTTGTGGTGCTGGTCCTTATTTTATACTCATAATTTGTTAAGAAATTTCAAAATACTTTATTTTTTTTGTATTCCTATTCCTATATATTCGTAGGCAAGAGGCTTGCCTTCTCGCGAATACCATAACTACACTTTTGTTGCAGTGAGTGATTTTACTATTATTGCAGAAACTTCTTAACCTTTATATCGATTTGTTGCTCCAGGTCGTACCTGGAGGCTCCAAATACTGGAAATTCTATAATGAGATACAATCCCAACGACATCAGCGCTACAGATATTAGATCTTATCGGAATCGGTTGCAAAAACGACGGGATCGCTTTCAGAACCTTCAGTACGGCGCGCGTGGAACTAGAAGTTGCTTGCGTCTATTCTAAGATATATTTAGGGACTAACTAGATTTCTTAAACATTAAGTATTAATTATATATATATAAATTACCTTATGTTTTAAGTTGCTCCTATTTGTCTGCGACCTAATTACTGTTGAGTCATTGCTACTTCGTCGCGATGACAACACGTTGGATGTTCCCTGAAACATCAATTGTTCATAATAAGTAACACGTAATAAAGACAGCAACGAAAGAAAGAATAAGACAGAATGAATTTTACGAAGTATTACGTGATGTAAAAATGTTGACTAATGTAAAAAATACTCTAATAAATACATAAAACTGTGTTAGTTATACAAATTCATTCAACTGAACAGGAGTAACAATGAACGTAAGAAGTTTATGATTTCTATTTTTGCTAAAATAGAGCGCGTTGAACAGAGATTGTTTTGATTCAAGGATATTTAAGGGTTGATTAGATATTAGACTAGAACATAGAAACATTTAGGGTTAATCTGCCAATTTTGATGCTTCAGAAATCTTTCCTAAACAGGGTTAGATATTACAGTTGATGTGAAAGAAGATTTGCTTGATTGTGATTGGTCTAAATACCGATTGTCAACCATAATCAATAATCAATCAACACCATTGAGTTTAGCAAACGCTGATTCAATATAAAATATTTCATATATTTAATTAAGGATGAAAACAAAACAATCTCTGTCACAAAGAGTAGAAGCAAAGTATCGGCGACAATCACGAGTTTTCTATGAAGAAGTCTAGAGACAGTCACAGAAGATGCTGTGATAATTTCAATCCTCCTACCATATAAATAAGGTTTGCGTTCGCTTGCTCCCGCTATCCAGCCCCACCGGAACAAATAAAATATGTTAGTACATTGCAGTGTCAATAAAAAGCTTACACAATGTTGCCAGTTTATATAAAGCCAAAACTAATCTACGGAGCTTGATTATTTATTTATAAAATAGCGTTGAGTTTCAAATTTCGACTTAGATATTACGAAGAATTTTATTTATAAACAACATTTATCTAGTGGTGTCACAACCTTTTGACCTGCGTTGAATTTTTGGTCGATATTTTTTTATGTTCTTACACGTCAATTACACCGTTATTCGACTATAAACTTACCGAAAGCAAAGCTCCAATGAGATCCGTGGCGATGGGGTCTTCTGCCCGCATTTTGGGATCTTCTCTCATCTGAGGGGAGTACAGTTCTGAAGTCCTCAACATGTCAACTGCGCGCTCTATGCACGCCACTGTTGAGGGTGGAGCACCTTCTGTTGCGGTAGACAGAAGGGATATCACCTGGAATTCGTTACGAAACTATTGTTTAACATTTATTGGTTTCCTTTTTATAGAGAAACATAAACGCCCAATTCCTCTAACCATGCACTCACATACATCCAGACACTCACTCATTCACTCACATACACCCTCACACTCACTCACTCATTCACTTACATGCGACCACACATATACACATGCAATCACGCTTGTTACGCGTAGCGTATGCTGTTAAACACATATTAACACATCCATAACAAAGGAAGAGGTCTGTGTCAAATACACAGATATATTTAAAAAGTGTTCCCAAATGTTATACATAATGCATCTACATATAATAAATAAACGCTTTTTTTTATACATAGATTTTTGATCGAAAATTAAACCATTGTGTGGTGATTGAAAGATACACAAATAAGGATTTAGTATAATTTATATCTTTGTGTTTGATTGACAGAACAAGTGAGAAATAGTATAAACACAAAAACAACATACAAAAATATAAATTGGAGGTGGATGGGTCATATGATGAGAGACAAGGAGCAAAAATGGAACAGAATTGTAACGGAGTGGTACCCACGAAGTGGGAAACGAAAGAGGCAGACATATAAGAAAATGGGCGGATGATGTATCGGCGAACCGCTAGAAAACGCCACAATTGGAAAAATTTAGAGGAGGCCTTCGTCGAAGGATAAACAGTAGGTAAATAAATAACCATTTGCCGATAGATAATAAGTATAATATATATTATAATTTAGACACACTTACTTTAAATTTAGCATGTAAACCAGCAATAAAGGCTTCTTTTTTTATTACCTTTGTTATAGGAGCTTCTAAAGGCAGGCCTTGAAGTTTAGCCAGCGATGTTCGTCTTAACCCGTCAGACGCCACAGATCGTACATCAAGAGATCCGCGTCTGATGGAGTGCAGTGAACCACGGCCTCGCTCGACTTCCGGTATGTTACTGGGTTCGCAGACGAAAACTATGTGAGATGTACTTCTGTAATAGAAATAGTAGAAAATCATCGTATTTTGAATATCAATAAATATAAGCTCATTAAGTCGAAACCATGACAATAAATTTGGGTTTATAACTGTTGAAAGTTTGTAATGAGTTTCAAGAAATACTTAAATAATTTTTCCTAAAGTACTGAAAGATATAATTGTTCTTTATGATAATTAATAATTGCTTTATTACTGAAAACAAACACTTCTTCAATATATAATGTCAGCGATTTAAAAAACGTTTCATGTTCGACTATTGTTTCTCAAGGTGAAAAAGGGTATTTTTTAATATTTTTTTCTCAACACAAGGTTTAAAAACCGACCGTGTCAGTGATACAGCAGCCCCTTTGCAGGCCAACAGAACGGGGTCCGGAGACGCCCTCCGCCTGAGCATAACAGGTGCGTCCCAGTCCCTAGCTCCACTAGTGGCCAGCCGTAGGCCTTCGCCTCCGATGGTTTCCGCAAAAGATCGCGGCCCTTCATCAGGCCTCCATCCGACGACCCGGCACCAGGACTTATTTGTGAGCTAAAGAAATTTAAATTGTAAATAACAATCCAATATGAATGTAGTAATCTCTTTTTCGGTGTGTGTCATTTCTAAAACAAATGCATTTTGGTCTTGTATTATAAAAATCTGATCTGAGCTAACATTTCTTTCCATTTAACCGCTATGCTATTGTAACGAAAAGATATATTTTTTTGAAAGAACAGGGGCATGAGGCTTACCTAAAGTTAAGTGATACCGCCTATGGACACTCTTAATGCCAGAGGGCTTGCGAGTGCGTTGCCGGCGTTTTAATGTTTTACTTTTTAGGGTACTATATTTATTCTGCCTTATTTTATCAACGCCATCGTTTACAAAATATGTGACTTACAAGCACCCTCTGCTGGTCATCAGTGACGGCAACGAGGTCCCTGCAGCGATCTGCAGCAGCTGCGAGAGCAGTGACGGCGGCGACCTGCGCCCGCGCACTTGCCGCTGCTGACCGAGCTTGCAGTACTTCAGCGCACCACGCGGTGGACCCTAGTGTTTCAACCATTACCTGAAATTAAACAAATGACTTAAAGCATAAACCATTTTGTCGTTATTTCTTTAAAGTAATAAATCCGAAAACCAATAAGCTAAAGTTATTTATGAATGTTGAAAATGAAAACAGCACTTAATATCGTCTACGCGATTACAAGAAAAAGAAAAATCATTTTTAAACACGTTTAATTATTATCAAAGCAGTGTTGGCTTCAGCGTGCGACTCTCATACCTGAGGTCGTACGTTCGATTGCCGGCTGTGCGCCAATGGACTTTCTTTCTATGTGCGCATTTAGCATTTGCTCTAACGGTGAAGGAAAACATCGTGTACTCACGAACTGTTGTCATGTTTTACTAAACACCGACATGTCTTAGACCCAAATAGTCGACGGTGTGTGTCTGAGATTTAAAAAATGATCATGAAACAGATTCAGAAATCTGAGGCCAAGACCTAAAGAGGTTGTAGCGCCACTGATTTTTTATTTTGTTAAATTATCACAATTTAATACAGTCAACGCGTGACGAAACTTGCTAAAGCCCGCGTTACGCCGGTTTCATATATTTAAAACGAAATGTCTAATAAAATACAGTTTTATTTAGTTGAAGTGAGTTTTGAAAATATTGTAGTGAATTACAATTTATTAGAAGTTTTGTTTAAATTTATGAGTTTAAGTTTCTTTAACTCATTTGTTAATTATTAGGAAAGCATCGTATTACATCTTTGATGGTAACTCAATTTGAACGACAAAGTTAAGGGACCTACAAAGGAACTTTAAACTTTACTTAGAGGGCTCTTCATGCAAATTTAACTTGTCTTACCAGTTCACACCTTCACTAATTGACTTATTTAATTTAGTGACGAAACGAATTCCCAAAGTATGACTGAAGTATGGGCAGAAAATTTCAGCATTGATAAATTGTAAGTGGGTGATCAATCTATACAATAGAAGGAAAAATAAACCAGCTGATATGATAGACAAATTTGCAAGCCATAATGTGTGGCAGAATATGGGAAGTTTAGATTAATTTATTTTAAAACATAAAATTCGACCTATACGCAAATAAAAAAGTTTCCGGTCGCCATACAATGATATCGTTACGTTTCCCACCAGTAGACAATTAATAATGTTTAATTCAATATAGGCCGGGAGACAGTGACACAAAATAGTGGGTCATATGTACCAGTATGGCGGTTCTTCAGGGGTCTTATTACGCAATGAAAAAAAGAAAAATGATGGTCATAGCGCTGGTACCGGCAACCCAATCGCGTGGGCGTTAGTCGAACTCGTCGGATTAATTACGGGTGTCAAACAATTTGTTCCACAATAGTTCTAGTATTTACCGATAGTCCATAAATAATTATAATATAAATAAGAGGCGGCAGTGTCATCCCATACTTCTCCGGTGTAGGTTACAGCCCGCCATACCGACGCGAATGCGTTAATTATCCTAATAATATCTTCCTTACTCCGCGTGTGTGTTACTCTATTTTATATACAACAATAACTTAATGAAATCTGATCTTAGTTAATGCATGGACAATATTACTTTTATAATGTAAGTTTAATTAGCGACAAAGGATTTACTTAAGGCTTTGAACAATAGCCATTATCTCGAACAAGAAACTTCAAATAATAGAGAGACAGAAGCTAATCATATAACAAGCAACAATACACGTCAACCTTGTCATTTTATTCTGGTTCAATGCCGTTTTGATTTTTCCTATCTTTTGTGCTCGAGAAAAAGCTTATTAGTTTTGTATTGTATTACAGAATGGCGACTAGGTAGCTTCGAAAGGCAGATAAGAGTAATATGACATAACGCCTTTTAAAAGATTTAAACTTTGATTTTTTAGTTATATAAAAGTCTTCAAGCGCACTGTATGACTTTTTCAACTTATTTTTACGCTAATAACCCTAATACGCTAATCATATATCATAACCTAATCATATAAAAGAAAAGGATTTGTACTTTTAACGAATAAACATATATATATAATACAAATAAATCTTCTACTATTTACAATGTCATATCCACAATTAGCTCATACAATTTTCTTTTTAATTTTAACCATCCGCAATCAGCCTCTTGGCTTTTATCAGATTTAGCTCGGCTTATAGTAAGGAAAAAGTATCACATATTACATTTCTTAAATTAATTTATGACATTAAATTGTATCTACAAATCGAAAATGTCGAATTTAAACCGGTAAAACGGTTAAAATAAAAAAGGACAATCTGTAGTTACTTAAACATTACGTAGCCCTTACGTAGACGTAGCAATCGGCGTATCATTTCCGCCTTCACAAGATTTGGGTTCGCCCGACTTTCGTAGCGATATAGCAAAATGTAGCTCAGGTTCTTGGCATTAAGCTTTTTGCCTTTTTATAATTATACGCGTTATTTTAGTACTAAAAAATGTTATTTTCATTATTTTCTCGTAAAGTAAGTTTTAACATAAGCGATAGTTTGTAATAAAAACTTATTGTAGTATAATCTTACAAGATTATCTACTTATATATAACAGAGGTTTATGTTTATACTCTTTCTCAAAAAACTGTTTTAAAAATGTACCATGAACCACTGGCTAATTGATATCTAGTTACCCACAACACAGGTACTCCCTAGCGATATATGAATTTTGTGTCACCCTATTTGTCATCAATAAAGGTTTTATTATTATTATTACGATAATGTTATGTTACTTACTCTGTTGAAGCCTGCTTCCAAATATGGTAGAACGGCAAAGTCATCCTTTAGGTATGCACTGTAACAATATTTACTCATTTATTTGTCAGGAAACAGTTGCATATAATAGAAACAGAAAGAAGACAAATAAAAGTTAGGGTATCGAATGTATCTTAGTTTCACAGAAAAATAACTTGAAGTATTTTTCTGTGTAAATTTGTGCACAGTGGGGATCGAACCAACGACGTCAGGGATGAAAGCGTCGCACGCTGGAACCACTAGGCCGACACGGCTCTAATTTAAAATATATAATTGTAATTATCGCGTGTTAGTTCGGTAAAGTTTCTCTTTAGCATTTTTAAAAATAAATAACGTGTAATAAATATAGTATATTTAAGTCATTAATTTAATCGTAACAACATTACATACTATGTAAAACGTGGACTTGAACGTATCTTGCCATATTTATTAACATAGTTACGATGTATTTATGTAAAATACAAACAAATACTGCTTTAGAATCACGTTAATTCTTTCTGTATTTATAAGTATAGAATTATCAAATTAAACTAGACTCTAGAGATATCGATGAAGGTGATAAGATACAGACAGTACATAAAAACAAAGGATTTGATATTTAATATACAATTGTTTTAATAATATTTGATCAAAGAAAATTCATTAATTGGAATAATTATACAAATACGTAGAAAACTTTTGTCATTAAAATTAATATTTGTATTCAACTTTTGTTAATTATAAGTTTGTTAAATGAGACTGATTGAATATAATAGTATTATTTATACACAAATATAATAATTATAATTGTATATATACCTAAAACAAGTATTTATTTATTTTTTCTTCTGTGTGTATTTGCAATCTGTCCTAAGGCTATGAGAGAATCTATTCTGTGGTGGTTTAGCTTCCCATTGGAAGCATCTACTTATCTGCTGCCCAGAGCTACAGCCTGTCTCCTAGATCTTGAATATGGTGACATTTTAGTCGTCTCACATACTGGTCATTAAGTATCGATTTATAATGTTACATAGCAACATATAGTATTCAAGGTATATTTAGTCAGATCGCATTATTGTGTAATAGGAGTTATAGCTACGAGCTTAACGTCAACCAAACAAAGCATACCCCCATTTGGAGTTAATTAGTGCAGTAACTCGATCCCAACTATAAAGGCAAGCTACCTTCTACCTTATGTATGATGCTTTTACACCTTGAACATTGACATATACATCTGTGTGTAAGGCTGTGTTTTCCTTGGCGAGTGAAAGACGTCATTATATTTTACTAACTACAACTTACGGAGTCTTCGTTTTGAAATTAGAGTTATAGAGTATAAATATGTATTATCAATACTTCGTAGGGAAATAACATTTTCTTCTAGTTACAGAGTCTAAATAATTTGAGATACCGCGTATTTAGGGGTTCAGCGGAAGGGAATGGCAATTTTTTTCGACTTACTAAAGTTCGAGAAAAAGAGATTCTGTGTGGTTTTTTCATAGATTGGTTAAGTTTCTACTTTTTACATTGTTTTAAAGAGGTCCATTAGTTGCAGATCATAAATTAAATAATAGTAATGCACTATATTTAAATTTTACTAATAGTGTGATTCTCTCTGTTCTCTGAAACTCCAATATTAGATCGTATAAACATACTGGCAAGTATTCGTATACTTTTATTACTATTTTTGTGAATAGCTTTTCTAATATTTGGGAAACAGTACCGCGCCGTATTTGTATTGTATGTATCTTATACGAATAAGATATTCGTTGAATAAGTAACAGATGGTGTATTCTCACAAATATTTTTGTACGATAATTTCAATAATCTTAATATTTCTCTATCTAAGGTTCTTAAATTAATATAACCTAATATTGAAGTTAGCAAAAAGGTATATATTTACTAGAAATAATCTTCGGATCAGGGAACATTTCCTGTATCTATAACCCGAAGAAAGACATAAAAGTTGATAAACTGAAAGAGTGACAAGCACTCTACTCAAAATGATATAATAAATAAATGTTAACTCTTAACCAGTGGCGCCAAACTTATTGGCCTGGACCTCAGATTTCTGTGTGTGTTTCGCGATGATTTATTTTTCTTAATAGCCGAGGAAATAAGATTCGTTTTTAGGGTCTAAAGCATGCCACAACTAAGCGTTTTAAGGCAGTTTTAGCCACGCACCACCACTATATGGAACCAGCTGCCCACAGAAGTATTTCCGAACCAATTCAAAAAAAACTCTCAAACTACTAGGTCAACACTGATCTTTTTAAAAGGATGAAGTTTTATTAAAAATAATTCTTAGGTAGAGAATTTACTAACCAAATTATACGAAGAATAGGTTAAATATCTACAAAAAGCAATAACGTCGAAAATGTTTGTACATAAATAAACTCGAAATAGAAGTATTTATTCATTTTAATATATAAAAGGGTTTCGATCCACAAACATTTATCAAAGGAGCTCTGAATATTTTTGGCAGGGTCTTGTTCAAATATTTGGTAACAATGCGTCAAATACAGCAGCAGTGTTAATTACGTTAGAGATTTGTGCCTGCGACAATCATCCCTGAGGTCGTAGGTTTGAAACCCGGCTAAGCACCAATGGACTCCTTTCTCTTTATGTGGAAAGTAATCATCGTGAGGAATCCAGTGTGCCTTAAACCCCAAAAAAATACAGACTGGAATGGTTCTGCGTAGTATCTCGTGAGACGCGTAACACGAATGATTATGATTTTAATTTATGTATCGAGTTAGTAAAAATATAAGAGATGGAAAAAGTCCCTGGAAACAATGGTAGGAGTAGCTCGAGAAAATCCCCAAAAAGTTAGCGGCATGCGTCAGACACAGAAGTCTGACCGCCTACTTGCCAATTAGAAACCTTATAAAGCAAAACCTTAAACCGAAAACTTTAACCATACTTTCACATATTATAACATTTATAGAATATCATTAGTTAAAGAGCGACCGCATAGGCCCCATATATTGAAACAACTGGCATCAAAGCCCATTTTAATAGATCAAGATAAGAAATAAGAAGTTAAACGCAATTTATTTATTTATTTATTTAGTTATAAAGCCCACAACATCACACACAGTCATAAGTCCACCAACTATTTCACAAAATCCCACATCTAAAATGTGTGACAGTTAATGCAAGCATAAGTTTCTCAGTAAAAAAATCAAATAGAAATTAAAAAAAAAAAACACAACTAAAACACACACGACAATGCAAGCACACATTAAAATAAAATCAATTTTTTAACATAAACATAAAATAAAATAAAATTTTCAACAACTATGTGCAGAAAAAAAAAGAAAAATCATCAGAAAAAATAACTTCTCGCAATAATAACTTCTCAAAATATCCAACTCACTGAAGCGAGATTCTCGTCTATTGATTGGTGTAAATACTCGAATACCTAATGCACAAGTCTCCTAGCTCTGCGTTTCCATTGTGGAAATTTTAAAGGATTATAAATTTATATTTCAACTTTCTGTCTGCAACCGCGCGGTAAGTTTATTTTATACTGCCGCGCACAACTACTTTATGTAACCATCTGCCATTCTAGATACTTCCAAACCGTTACGATTTAGGGGCCACTTGCAAACCTCGTGGTGTTCATAGGCGGCGGTAAGCTTTAAATCCGCTGTCCCATAAAAATACAAATCATTTAATTAAGAAAGAATAAGCGTTAGGCGTTTTACAACAAAAATGCACTAGGGATTTTAAGTTTCTATAAAAGTATATGCACGATTAAAATGTCACCGTATAGAATTTATTCATCGGTTCCTGCTACAATTGTTAAGGTTAAAGGACCATGGGTTGAAAAGGACACAAGGAAATAAGGACTGGGTAGGGTCTAATGAATGGATCCTTGTCCTAAATACGTCCGAGTTCGTGCTTTCAAAAGCAACAAAAGTAAATTTTCAAAACATTTAAAATGAGAGCGGTTTTACTAAACAATGTATTTGTGTTAAAAGGTTATGTTCTAATATATTATTATAAAGTATGACAACGATTTTGTTTTCTTTATTAGTTTGATAATATGAAGAAAAACATAAATTCTAAAAGCTAAAATTAAATAAAGAGTTAATTAATATTAATGGCTGAGCTAAAAGCAATGGAAGATGCGTACTAAAGATAAGAAGAATACATAAAGTAAAAAGTGAAAATATAAGACAAAAATAATAGATGACTTACATTATGCCTTAAAACAAAATTGGATATGGGTGGGGCATATAACAAGTTGCACAGATAAAAGGTGGACTTTAAAGGAATGGAAAGGACCAAAGAGGAAGGAGAAGAGGGCGCCCTAAGATAGAAGAAATAGAAGCGTTAGCAGGAAGCGAATGGAGAAAGAAAGCCATGAAGCCAAGCCATTTGGAAAAAGCTTGAAAAGAAGTTACCCGTGAAGGTGTTCCTATCAATGGTGAAGGAAGTTATCCGAACTATTAGGATAACAGGAAAAATATATAAAAATCTAAACTGTATATTCTACCTTAATAAGGATTGGAAATAAATGGGCTTTATTATTAGTAATAAATAAATCTATTTTAATATGCTGTTTTAACGCAGATCAAGAAGTTAATTATGAACACTGGGTACAATGTTTCATGATATATTTCATTACTATGAAGCGTGTAACGACACTTTAAAATCTGTTAAAAGATTTTAGTATTAGTTTTAACGAAAAATATGTTTTTAAACTCTGACCATCGTTTTATGGAATGTACACTGTACAGTTCAATCGCAAAAGCATGTTCAATCTTTATCAAAGCTTTTACAGTCACCGGTAAACCGTAAGCTCCATTTTACATATGACCAATTTAGGTTCTATTGTGCGTGATGTCAGCCTTTAAATTGTACTTCCTTTGTTCGCTCGATAGAGCCTGAAATACCTAAACTGCGTTTTAATCGATTAGTAAGGTCACATATGTCAAAGGAAGTTACCGTGATTCATGTGGGCATTTTTTTATTATTGTGCCTTTCCGGTTTACATATATTTTAAATTCCTTGCTTTGCTTCAAGTTTTGTCTAAGTAACTATATGTCTTATATAGTTTTGCACTTGCGCTT